CCTTCCTTATAATAAATTTTATATTGACTATTTAACGTTCTACATTTAATGTGAATGTACGAGCTGGCCTTAGAGTGATCTGTTTTTTTCTGTTTTAAATAATATATATGCCCTTAGGCATGGCAGGCCGTTTACCTTCCAAGGAACCAGGACTTTTATTTACGTTAGGCAGTCAAAGTCTTAACATGGTGGCCTGCAGGGAAGAATTATCAAATTTAGAAAGATGATTCACATCAGAAACCTGGAGAGTCAATATTTAAACGAAGGACTAAAATATTGATAATAATAACTTTTTTCAGGTGTAATTAATACAATTGTTTTTCTTCCTGATTTTTTTGTATGTGCAACTTTAATGATACAGGGAGTTATTTAATAATAATAATAATTCTCTGTGAATAGCAATAATTTAATGTACCTATGTGATTTGCTGTGTGATTTATTATTTTATATAAGCAATTTCTATTGCAATAGGCAAGTGTTTTGTGCTATTAATTTCTAAGATGTCTGTAAGCAGAAGATATTCCAGTGGTGACAGGGGTCTGGGAATGAGGGGAAAAAGGTGAGTGGCGCACTGAGGAGTCTGTGGAGACAAAGAACTTTATCCATGGCAGCAAAGAGGGGAATGTATGAGAGTATAGTTATACCAACGCTCTTATATGGGTATGAAGTATGGGTTGTGAATGTTGCAACAATGAAAAGGCTGGAGGCAGTGGAGATGTCATGTCTGAGGGCAATGTGTGGTGTGAATATTATGCAGAGAATCCAGAATTTGGAGATTAGGAGGAGGTGCAGAATTACCAAAACTATTATCCAGAAGGCTGAGAAGGGGCTGTTGAGGTGATTCGGACATGTAAAGAGGGTGGAACGAAAGAGGATGACTTCGAGAGTGTATAAATCTGTAGTGTAGGGAAGGCTGGGTAGGGGTCAGTCTAGGAGAGGTTGGAGGGAGGGGGTAAACAAGGTTTTGTGTGCGAAAGGTTTGGACTTCCAGCAATCATGCTTGAGTGTGTTAGATAGAAACGAATAGAGACAAATTTTTTTTAGGACTTGACGTGCTTTTGTAGTGTTGGAGTCCGGCAGGCCGGGCTTGAATCCTAGAAATGGGAAATACAGTTCCTGAACTCTGAAGGAGGGGTGTTAATGTTGTAGCTTTATAACTGTAGTGTAAGCACGCCCCTGCAACCCAGTGATGAAATGAATGATGATGAAAGTTTTTGTTTTTCGTACCACCCTGTCTTGGTGGGAAGCGGCCAATGTGTTATATGTTAATATATATATATATATATATATATATATATATATATATATATATTTATATATATATATATATATATATATATATTATATATATTCTTCTTTCACAAAACCGGCCGTATCCCAAAAAGAAAAACGAAAGTCTCTCCTTTTACATTTAGTAATTTATACAGAAGGGGTTACTAGCCCCTTGCTCCTGGCATTTTAGTCGCCTCTTACAACACACATAGCTTATGGAGGAAGAATTCTGTTCCACTTCCCCATGGAGATAAGAGGAAATAAACAAGAACAAGAACTAGTAAGAAAATAGAAGAAAACCTAGAGGGGTGTGTATATATATGCTTGTACATGTATGCGTAGTGTGACCTAAGTGTAAGTAGAAGTAGCAAGATGTACCTGAAACCTTGCATGTTTATGAGACAGAAAAATGGACGCCAGCAATCCTACCATCATGTAAAACAATTACAGGCTTTCGTTTTAGACTCACTTGGCAGGACGGTAGTACCTCCCTGGGCGGTTGCTGTCTACCAACCTACTACCTAATATATATATATATATATATATATATATATATATATATATATATTATATATATATATTATATATATATATATATATATATATATATATATGTCGTGCCGAATAGGCAGAACTTGCGATCTTGGCTTAAATTAGCAAAAGCTCATCTTGCCTATAGGACAAGTGAAAATTGTGTTATACAATAATTTCGCCAAAATCATTCTGAACCTAACGAAAAAAATATATTTCACTGTGTTTGTTTAGTATTAAATTACTGTAAACAAATCGAAAATATATTTAGTTGGGTTAGGCCTAAAATAATTTTTTCTTGTTATAATAAGGTTAAGTAAGTTTTCTAAGATTCTTTTGGAGCAAAATTAAAAATTTTAACATTAATATTAATGAAAAAAATATACCTTTAAACGTATAAGAGAAAATTTTAGAAAGGACTTAATTTTAAATGAGTTCTTGCTAATTGACCAGTTTTACATATTCGGCACGACATATATATATATATATATATATATATATATATATATATATATAAATGCAAGGAATTCGCAAGAGCAGGCGAAATATACACAAACACTGATCTCTGGCCGAAGGAGACTCGAATCTACGAACCTTGGAACAAGGTACGCAGTGCTGTACCATTCTCACCACACTGGACCAGTAACTTGGCGCCTAGCTCACGCTAGACGTTGATCCAAGGCAGCCAGCTTTCGGGCGGGAGGTTGACAGCTTTTCATCTCATCCCCTGCATGCACTGTTTAAAATCTCTAGTTGGTCGATGCATGCAGGGGGATGAGATGAAAAGCTGTCAGCCTCCGCCTAAAAGCTGGCTGCCTTGGATCAACGTCTAGCATGAGCTGGGCTCCAGTGTGGTGAAGATGGTAAAGCATTGCGTCCCTTGTTCCAAGGTTCGTAGATTCGAGTCTCCTTCGGCCGGAGATCAGTGTTTATATATATATATATATTTATATATATATATATATATATATATATATATATATATATTATATAATATATTATTATATATATATATATATATATATATATATATATTATATATATATATATATATATATATATATATATATATAATATATATATAGGGATCCAGCTTTCAATTTATTCAAACGAAGTCACCACCAGGATTAGGGGATATATACAGACCTAAGCCATCACATAGGAAGTGTTTTATTTTAAAGGCACATCACATGTTTTTCTTTTGTTCCATATATACCACTTTTCTGCCTGTCTGAAAAAAAAGTTGATTGGGACATGTGTTTAATTATTAGTATATACGAATAATTTGTGATGTAAACACAAAGCAATTTGTTAGTGACCAAAAAATGATGAAAGTCTGTAAGTACAGTTGTTTAGATAATTGTGAGTGTGAAGTAAGGATTTTGAATGTTCAGTGAGGAGGCTACGGGAATCGGAGATGCCACATCGAAGATCAATGATAGTGCTCATTTGATGCACATAATAAGAAAATAGAAGATGGTGAGTGACTATTAAAAATATAATTAAAGAAACCGAGGAGGGATTCCTGAGACAGCTAGGTGCTATAGAAAGTCTTGAGCAGGTTAAGTTACCCACGAAGTGTATACGTCTTAAGGTGGAAAGAAGAGGTGGAGGGATCTTCCAACAAATGGACGAAAGAACAGTGTGAAGAAGGCTTTCAAAGATAGGGACTTTTGCATCTAATAGCAACTGGTGATTATTTTAGACTTTAGCGATGGCAAGTATTTTTTCCTTAACGTGCCATTGCTGTGGGAGAGTGGAAATATTTCTAGAGATTTAGGGAAATTGGTTTGCAGGATTTGAGTTATCGAGATGGAAAGTACAGTGCCTTCCTTCCTTTTGTAAGTTGCTGCTAAAGTATCTCATTGCACCAATTATATTTGTATAATTCTGGAAAGGAAAGTAGGGTAAGTATTGGGGAATATTTCTTTCTGCCTAAAGGAAAAGTAATTTATATTTACAAATAAATTTCATTGTTTAGGTAAGCAAAAGTGTAATAATTTATATATTTATTATAAAAAGAACGTTTATATAAAAAATCAAAGCTACAATAT